TATATAATTTATTTATATATAATCTATATAAACATATATGCTCTATTCTTGCATAATTCTTAGAATAATATAAAAAAATACTATTGGGTAACAGCATGTTATTTTGTTATATATAATTAATGAAATAACTAATATAAAAATAACATATTATCTTATATTTATTTCATAATAATCTATATTTCCAAATTCTATTAATGAATGATATTATAATCGAATAAAAATTTATCTATATTTGCGCTAGGTAGCACATATTTATAAATACTTGGAATCGCTTGGTACAATGATTAACAGGCTTAAAATTATTAAATACTTCAAACATCTTTTTATGTTTTTAGTATGCAGAACGCTCATGTTTAAAAAAATATTTACTTTAATTTATAATTTTACAAATTATTTTATTATATTAAATCACTATAGAAAAATATTTTGTAACTTTTTACAGAAGTAGGTTGAAAATAAATGAGTTAAATAAACTAGTAATAATGTAAAATTACACTCTGTATTTTATAAAATTTACTTGAATTTTTTTTTCATAAGATTAATAAAATATATATTATAGTTCTCTCTATATATTTTTATTATTAATATGAGATGTACTTAACGTGTACCACCATGAAAATGATAGAAGAACGAAATAATTGTAATGTGTGGGAATTAATAATTTTTTTTTTGTTCGTACGTACACATATTCATTAGAATATGTAAAAAATATAATTAAAATATTTATTTTATTAGTATTAATTTTCCTTATTATGTTCTTCACTTTTAATGCCTTTCTAAAAAAAAAAAAAAAAAACATCTGTTTTATTATAAAAAGAATAATTACGAGTTATTATAGATTTATTTATTTTTACTGTGTAATATTTATTTTGAAATTTCTATTTATATTATTTATTAAACGTATACATCTTATTTAAAAAAATTATTTTACATATTAAATATTTACATGGCTACAACATTATTTGTAGAACACTAGATACATTAAAATATATAGAATTAAGATCAATTTAAGAAATTTTATATTATTTTTTACTAAAATATTATTAATTTTATCATAAAATTATATAAAACACATTAACCTAGTTACTCAAAAATCATGTCATTTGATAATAAAATAATTTTTTCCTTTCGTTCATATAAATTAGTCCAAAAAGAAATATTCAATGAAACATAATTTTCATACTCTACAGTGTCATATTTTTATTAAAGTTTATGTTATTTTATAAGAATTCTTAAAATATTCTAATTGAATAACTATCATTTATAATTTTTCATTAAAATTGTTTAAATAATTATATATATTATGTATTTGCATTGTTATATTAATGCTTGCTCAAGTACACAAGGGAAAATATAATTATAATGCCATTTAAAAGAATAAATTCATATAATTTAAATGAATAATATATATGTATCATATGTTCATATTTGAATTATTTAATAATTCGTATAACTCATATACCATAAAAATAAATTCAATGGGGTATCGCATAATTTCATCATACATAAAATATTCATACTTAAATATAAGATAATAATAAACATATTAGAAAAATATTAATTAACAATGTTTTACCATATTTATATATATTACGAATTGTTATGTATTTTTTATTTATATACATATTTTTCTTTTACTATATATTTAAATGAATTTTTGTGGTAATTACTATAATTCAATAAACGCAATTTCTAATAGTATATTATATTTTGAGATGTATTAATTATATATTAAATTACATAATATGTACCTTTTTTGAAATATATTTAACTAATTCTTACATATAAATGAATATCAGTTATTATATATAGCAACAATTAACGTTTCTAGTAATTTATGAATATATAT